CAGGCCTCCGGGCCGAGGCAGCGTGGTCAGGACACTCTCACAGACCTATGGCTGAGCACAGAGGGCAGAAATGAAACCGCTGGGACTTGAGTGGGTGGAGCAAGCGCTCAGCTGTGCCCCTCATAGCGAGAGAACCACCTGCCGATGTAGCCAGGGAGCCACATGCTTTCATCTCCCTACCTACCTCAGCGAGGACAGCTCTCCCCTGCAATACTGGTTGGAGTGAGGCTTATCTCCTACTCCAACCCACCTCACCACCTAGATCTTTACTATCTGAGAGACATTTTGGACAGGTGGTCTGATGGCAAAGTGACCTCCTCAGCATTGAGAAGTGTGTGTTCAATAGTACAACTTCTCATACTATTAATAATAAGAGCCAACCACTTACACAGCACTTAAATCTCACCACAACCACATAAAATGGGTATTGTTATTATTATTCTTATTCTACAGATGAGGAAACTGAGGTCCCGAAAGGTGAAGTAACTTCTCCAATGACAAATAGCTTGTCAGTAATAAAGCCAAGATTTGAATCTAGGCAGTGAGGTGTGAATCTGTGCTTTTAACCACTGCTCCACACTGCCTTTAAGCAAAAGATAATTAAATCCACCAAGTCTCCAACTCTGCACAGCCAGTTAGAATTTAGACATTGCGTCTGACAAGTACGGGGTATGCAGTTAAATTTGGAATTGAAATTTCTTTCTCATAGTAGCAACCCTTGTGTGTGAAAATCGGAACTAACGGAATAAATTTGAGCCAGCAGAAATTCCTTATATCAGTGAGATGGCATCAAGAGAAACAGGACAGCTCCCTTCCTTTAACATGTCTCTGTGTGTGCTACAGCGGTCAGTGAAGCGGTGTGTTGCCACTTCACCAATATTTACAGAGCACCTATATTATAATAACTTGGCCCCAAATTAATTTTCCTCCTCAAAACTTTTCTGTTAAAGAGTTTGACCACACAGTGGGCTCAGACAGCAGGGGGTTTGCCTGGAGCCCCCAGTGTACAGAAGCATAGAAAGTAATTAAAAATCAGAATGTACTCTAATTCAAAATCAAAAGGCATCCCCATCTATGCCCTTGTGAAAATTGTGTGAGTTGGCAAATTAATGAGACTGTTGCCTGGGGTGAACTCTACCCTTAGCCTGTGTAATTACCAAGAAATAAGAGAGACCTTGGTGGGTCCTATGGATGAGCAAAAGAAAATGATGTCTGGACATAAGTGGAGTCATTAAGAATGCAAGAGCACTAATGCACCGGGGCTGCTTCCAGGGGACAAGAGATGCCTGGGCTGCAGCGGGAACAGCCCAAACAGTCTTTTGGGTCTGTTGAGTCTCCCACTTCACTGTAAGTAAGCAGAGGGGAGATGCGGAGTCGATTTACCGTCCAGATAGAAAAGGGAGAGGGCTAACATTTGCTGAACCCTCGCTACGTGCTGGACTCTGTGCCAGGCATTTTATATATATTGTGTCACTTAAAAAATGCCAGAATAGCCCCTGGGTTTTTGCACTTGGACGGGCGATGCGTACACAGTCCAGCCTTGACATACAGAATGACACAGGCATGATGACCATTATCATCGCAGTTACTCTGCCACATGCAAATGATACAGACAAGATAATCTAAAAGCAAAAAGAAAAATCGCTATTAACATTTTGGCCCTGTAAACTTATATTCTTTTTTCCATATATATATTTTGTATTCATTTACCAAAATGGGATTATATTACATGTGTTGCTTTATACCTGCTTTTTAACTCAAACATCTTTACATGCTTATTAAATATTCTTCTACAATATCATTCTAGTAGTTACAGAGCAGGCAATTGTAGGTACTTTCATAAATGTTTTTTATCAATCCCCAATTATAGTACGTATAAGTTGCTTTCAAGTTTCCACAATTTTAAACAATGTTCTGATGAACATTCTTGTAGACAAATCACTGCAAAATTATCCAATTTATTCTATTTTTTTAATTTTACTTATTTATTTTTTTGGTGAGGAAGATTGGCCCTGAGCTAACATCTGTGCCCATCTTCCTCTATCTTGTATATGGGACACTGCCACAGCATAACTTGATGAGTGGTGTAGGTCCACACCCAGGATCCAAACCCAGGCCCCCAAAGTAGAGCACACCAAACTTAACCACTGCACCACCATGCCAGCCCCCCTCCAATTTTTTTTAAAGGCAAATTCCTAGCATGGAAATTGCTGGGTAAAAGGATATAGACATTTTTAAAGTCAAGTTTATTGAGGCATGATTCACATATAGCAGAAGTCAGCCTTTTTAGGTGGACAGATCTGTGAATTTTGACAAATGCATCAGTTATGTAACCACCACAATTAAGTTATATAACGTTTGTAAGCATTTTAAAGCTTTTGATGCATGCGATCAAATTGTCTGCTAGTAAAATTATACCTACTCCCATCCACTATCAGCCTATAAAATGTGAACATTGCATATTATCCTTAAAAAATTGTTTTAGGGGCTGGCCCCGTGGCTTAGCGGTTAAGTGCGCATGCTTTGCTACTGGCGGCCTGGGTTCGGATCCTGGGCGCACACTGACGCACCACTTGTCGGGCCATGCTGAGGTGGCGTCCCACATAACAGCAACTAGCAGGATGTGCAACTATGACATACAACTGTCTATTGGGGCTTTGGGGAGAAAAAGGGGGTAAAAAAAAGGAGGAAGATTGGCATTAGATGTTAGGGCTGATCTTCCTCAAGAAAAAAAAAATTGTTTTAAAAAAAAGGATTTTCCAATTTGGTAGGTGAATGTTTCCATCTCATTTTAAGTTACATTTATTTGATTACTAATGAGGTTGCATGCCTTTTCATATGTTTATTATCTATTTTTATGTCTTATAGTATGAATTCTCATCTATATCCTTGGCCTGTATGTCTAGCCAACTATTACTCTCTTTCTTATTGATTTGTAAGAGGTAGTGGGGTCTGGGGGTGAAGAAGTGATCTGTCATGTTGTAAATATGTTTTCTCTTGTTATTTGCCTCTTTTAATAGTGATAGCTTTTTTTTCCTCAAAAGTTTGAAGTTTCTCAAATTTCTCCATCTTTTCCTTACAGATTCCACCTTAGAAGTCATCTTCATAAAGTCCTTTCCCACTCCATGATTATTTAAATATTTTCCCTTTTTACATTTAAATCCTTAATTCATCTGGCACTTATTTTGGTGTATCACATGGAGTAAACTTATTTTTCCCCCAAAATGACGAGCCAGTTGTAACAGCCCCATTTATCAAATAGCAGACCTTGTTCCCACTGAGAAGTCAGCTTTATGATATATTATATTTATTATGTACTTAGATATGTCCCTGAACTTTCCATTTTGTTCCATAAAATTTCTTATCTTTTTTGGAAAAGAATACATACTGATTCACACATTTTTAAATATTGTAGTTTTATAATATGTTTTAATATCTAGTATGGCAAGTACTGTTTTTCATTACTATACTTTTTCGAAATGTTGTCTCAGGCCTTAATTATTCCAGATGAACTTAGAACAATATCTGAGTTTAAATATCCAATAGGAATTTTTATTGAAATTTCAATATATTTATAGATGAATCTGAGAAGGATTTATCTCTTTATAATAAGCAGTCTTATCACTGAAGAACGTGCTACATTGCTCCACAAGTTCAAGTTTTCTTTACGTGCCTCGGTAAATGTTTAGTTTTTAAAAATGTGGTTTGTATATCTTGTGTATGTATTTATCCCAGGAATCATGGTTTTTCTGTTACCATTACTCACAGCATCTGTCTTTCATTATACTTTCTTACTGGTGGCTCCTATTTATAGCATTCTATTTATTAATTTTATAAAAAGCTAGTTTAATAAAAACTCATTACAATAGTATTTTAGTTTTCGTTTCCCTTCAGTGTTCCAAGAAGACATAAGTTATTTATCAATACTAACAATTTTACCTTCACTTTTCTGATTTTATACTTCATTTCTTTTTTCAGTACTCATTATTCAGAATGATTTTGATTGGTAATTTCAGTTAATTCTTCACATCATTACATTTTAGTTACATATTAAGTTACATGTTACTTTTATAAAAGTCAGAAGTGGATTTTAATATAGTACCTTATGATGAACTACTCTTGCAATTCTGGAATAAACCTTATTTGACTATGGCACATTATTCTTTTAACATTTTACTCAATATTTTATTTGAAATATTTATATCTGCAATCATTAACTTCAGTTTTCTTTGACATGTTATCTTTTTCAAGTTATGATATTAAGGTTGGGTTATTCTCATGTCGTAAAATTAGGAACTTTGCCTCTTTTTCTGTGCTTTGGAACCATGCCTGCTCCTTGATACGTGGATTTAACTCACCTGTGTGAGCTGCTCCTAGGCTCGCGGAGGAGGCACCAGCCACAGCATTTGTTAAAGGCCTCTCTCTCACTCAGGATTCAGAATCTGTATTAAAATTCCAAAGTTCATTCAACAATTTTGAGAGTCAGACAATGAAAAGCTAATTCATCTGTTTTCTTAGACTAGGACAAATTGTCAAATAAAGATGAAAACTAATTAAATCACCAACACCACGTTCCCACCATTTCTTTAGATTCCATTAGCTCTTGGCAAACATTTACGCTGACATCAAGTTTATTGACTCCAGTACGGTGTTCAAAACCTGACTCATTCCTCTTCAGACGCTACAGAAATCTCCACCCTCTATTTCCTAGGACTGAAATGGAAGTAAAATGGTAAAGAAATAAGATGAAACTTACTGCATCACTTAGTTTTCCTTGAGCACACCCTGGATATAAGCAATTACACTAAAGTGCTTAAGAGGCTGGAAAAACTGTCTATGTTCTCCTCCAGGTTTTCACTGAGGCAAGGTACCCACCTTGTTTGTCATGTCTTCCTCTCACAGATGGAGTGATGCCATGTAAGTTCCAATACAGCCCGGTGGTCCTCAGCCTACTTAGTTCCCGCAACAACAGTAACAGCATTTCCTTCTCCTTTATCCAGGATGTCTGCGTGAAGGCTTATCTAGCCCTTCGTCATCACACAAACCTACTGATCATCCTGTTCTCCATGATGCTGATGACGGGAATGCCCCAGTTAACCAGCAAAGAAGACATTGAATATATTCGGGATGCCCTAACAGTGGGGAAGAATGAGGAGGATGCTAAAAAGTATTTTCTTGATCAGATTGAAGTTTGCAGAGACAAAGGATGGACTGTGCAGTTTAACTGGTTCCTACATCTTGTTCTTGGCATCAAACAAGGAGAGAAACATTCAGCTTAATACTTTGAGCTAGAATTAAAAACTAGGCAGTGTTCTCAAGCTTTAGATCAGCATGTCAGTCATTGACCTTGCATTTAAAATGTAAAGGGACATTATGAAAGCTGGCACTTCCGAAATACGGCTCTCTTCCTAGCTGAACCCCTCACTGGAGAAAAATGTTGGCGTGGCTGACTGTTTCAGTAATGTTCAGTTCTAGGTCTATTTGCAGGTGTGTTTTTTCTCCTTTGTCTCAGTGATGTTGGAGAACATTCCAAGTTTAAACAGACTGATTACTTCCTCATTGTGCCTGACGTTTTGACTATCTTCATATTGACTACTTTTGGAAATTCTTTAAAATAATTGGTGAAGAATTATGGGTAGAATAATCTATTTTCATTTGGGTTTACTCTGAATTTTGGTTATCCTTGTGTTCCTCAAGCTCTTTACAGGAAAATATGTAATCATTGTAACCTGTGTCTCCTTCCTGAGGTGATGCTTCCAAACATCCTCTCCGTGTCTGCCGATGTTAGTGATGTGCTAAAAGCCAGGAAAGCAAGTCAGTCTTTTCAGTGTCTTCTGTAATTAGGTTCTTTTACAGTATACAACTGAGACACACAAACACAAAATGGAAAATCTGAACCTTTGTGGCCATAACCCTGGCCCTTCTCTGCTGGTCTGGTTCCAGGGTTATGAATAGGAAAAATAGAGATGAGACCATTTGTCTCAACTCTGCCCACAGAGGGAATTATCAAGTACAATTATTATAACCTTCTCCAGCATAGAAACTACTGTAACTAAAGGGACTCAGTTTCTCCCTCTACATTGTCTTCCTTTCTCCTGGCTTCCCTTCTTCCTCCATTGCCACCCTCCCACAACTCTTTATCCAGAGTTGTGAAATCTTCAAGAACATCTTTACCCTGGAATTCAAAAGTTAATTGAAAAAGAATTTCTCCTCTAGGGTTACTAGAATTTTAGGTACTTACTTGTAAAAATGGGGTGCAGTTTTTTAAAAGTATATTATTAAAGGAGACATTCTAGAAAATATGGATTAGTTTCCACATGCCTTAATTTTAAATTTTGGTCTGAGCAGCTTTTTCTTTCTTTTTTAACAGAAGAAGATATTTGATATCTAAAAAGTGCTCCAAGTTAGGAAGAACACTACTTGCCTTATCCAGCTCTAGTTTAAAGGACTTTTCAACTTCAATACATTCTTCAGATTTCCTAAAAATAATTGAAATGTCTTCTTCAAAAACTATTTTTATCTCTTAAATATTTTGCTATTTATTGGAAGTATTGTTTAACCTTAGAGAAAGATTGTTAAATTATTTATAAAATATTTTAAAATTACCTATAGTTAATACTTTACATAGAAATAACTGTTAATGGTGTCTATGTTTAAGTATAATCAGATTAAAATTTATGTTTAATTTTTAAGTTTTCTAAATAGATACTTGTTTGACTTTGCTATAGCCCAAAACTTTCCTTTTGTGGATGCAAAAGCCCAGTGCTTCTTAAACCTGGCTGCAAAGAAGAATCACCAGGGATGCTCTAAAAAGTACCCTACCTGAGCACCAACGTCAGGGTACAACTTTAGTTTGGGATAAGGCCCAGACAGCATTATTTTTCTAAGTACTCTAGGTGATTGTAATATGCAGCCCGGGTTAGAAAGCCCTGCATGGGCTTTGAAGGTGCAGGAACCATGCTTCCTTGCCTTTCCCTGGCTCATAAGGTATCTAGAAAGAACTGCTCTTCCTTGACAGCTCATCTTTTTAAAATCACGCTCTATCCCCCTGTACAGAGGACCATGCCCTGTCATGAAATGTTTATTCCTCTGTGTTAATGGAGGATAGATGGTTTTATGGCATTTTTAGACCAACTGTTCCCTACCATTCTTTTGAAAAAGAGCAGGAAGAATGATGCTAATTCAGAAGAGGATGTTTTCATTATTCTTTTAAAGACTAGCCAAGCTCAGACCTTGCACAGATTTCACTTTTTATTTGAGTTGCTGGAATAATCATCTTAATGACAGAATTACAGAGGAATGTATTTATATTTAGCTTACTGGCACATGTGCATACATATTTGCTCTTCAAATGAATAAGTTCTTACATTATGATGAATATATATGTTGGGCTTGATTCTTCCATATTCCAATGAAGGTATAGACTTGCAGATAAACAAAAATCATCCTTGTGTGCTTCCTTCCTTTATTGTTCCCAGTGAATCACATGACCCACAACTTTTATACCTTTGAAAATATTCTAGAACTAGGATCATCTTGCTGTTGGGAGGAGATGCTGGGAACTACCCACAATTCTATTTTCAATGCCAAATGAAATCAGAGATCACAAGTCAAATGACTCATGTGTCCAGGACTGGCTACATAATTTGCAGAGCCAAGGGCAAAATGAAAATGCTGAGCCTGTCATTCAAAAATTATTAAGAATTTCATGATGGCAACAGCAGAGCATTAAACCAAGCACGGGGCCCTTCCGGCATGGGTCACTGCACAGGTCACAAGCCCTTGAAGCTGGCACTGTGTGTATCTGACTAATGGCTTTGGTGCTCAGTTTTACATTTGGACCATTTCTGTATGAGTGTAGATAAAGTGCCCAGATCAAAATGTTGCTTTTATTCAAATTGAAATACCTCATCTGAATGGCTGTACATTAGGACTTAAAACACTGGCTCATTGATTTGGACTAGAACCATGGCCACTAAAACAAAGCAGGTATTTTAGACCTGGTCCCATATGACTGCATTTGACTGGCTTTGGTGATACTTTGATGAAAGTAGGGGGAAGTAGAGATATGATAGATAAAATATATCAACTCCTAGAGAGAACACTTGAATTTTTAAAAATTTTTATTAAATATATCTTTTAAAAAAGATTAATTATTTTTTTAAAAGAGGTTAGATGTAGGAATGCTGCAGCTTAATTTGGAAGCTGTTAGTCTTATATAAATGGAAATTAATTATTTTTTGAAATGAGTCCAAAAAATAATTTAGAAGGTAAGTTTCTGGAGCAAATTCCGGTTATTTGGTATTATTTGGTAAGCTGGCTCTATTTGCCAAGATTATGAAATAAATTGTCAATTATATTTTACAATATGAAAAAAAATAAAATAAATTTGGATTTTTAAAGGTTCTGCTGTCTTATTTTCTGTTTAATCCAACCTAATAATTCTGGTCAATAAATTTGGTTCTAGTCTGGGTGCTTGTCTGCATATTCTCAAAGACTCATTTTCAGGACAGGTGCTGGGGGAACCTAAAGCACATACCCATTCAGAAAGCTGAGACAGTCCCTCTTCTGGACCGTCCAGTTCTCCCCACTTGCATTTGTATTTTAATTACAAATTGTTGTATGTGAACTTAAATAAAAGGAAGAATCTGATATCTTGTGTTCTCTGTACACATCTTTTAAGGTCTGAAAGGCCAGATATTCCTGAAATTCAAATTCTTTCTTTTAAGAAATCTTTATTGGGGCCGGCCCAGTGGCGCAAGCGGTTAAGTGCGCGCGCTCCGCTGCAGCAGCCCAGGGTTCCCCGGTTCAGATCCCGGGCGCGTACTGACGCACCGCTTGTCAGGCCATGCTGTAGCGGCGTCCCATGTAAAGTGGAGGAAGATGGGCATGGATGTTAGCCCAGGGCCAGTCTTCCTCAGCAAAAAGAGGAGGATTGGCAGATGTTAGCTCTGGACCGACCTTCCTCACAAAAAAAAAAAAAGAAATCTTTATTGAGGGCCCACTACCCACTAGACACTGTGCTAAGTACTGGGGATTAGAATATGGAATAAGACTGACCCAGTCCAGTCCTTAAAGAGTTTATATTTGCTGGTGATAGCAGACACTTCATGATGGGGGCAGTTGGGGGTTGAACTGTGTCCGGCCAAAAGATATGTTGAAGTCCAAACCCCTGGTATCCATATCCAATCTTATTTGTCAATAGGTTCTACAGATGTAAGCAAGTTAAAATGAGGTCGTAATGGTGGATCTTAATCCAATATGACTGGTATGCTTAACAGAAGAGAAAGGAGACTGGCATGTGATGGAGGTAGAGGTTACAATGATGCATCCACAAGCCAAGGAACACCTGGGGCCACCAGAAGCTGGAATAGGAAAGGATCTTCCCCTAGAAGCTTCCAAAGGGGCATGGCCTTGCCAACACTTTCAGACTTCTAACCTTCAGAACCATGAGAGAATAAGTTACTACTGTTTTAAGCCACCTGGTTTGTGACACTTTGTTATGGCATCCCTAGAAAAGTAATAGTGTCAATAACCAAAAGTTTTGTGGGTTTTTTGGGGGGGGTTATGTAAGTAAATTTGTTTGATATGTTCTGCTGTTACCAAAAAGATTTAATTGCATGCAAAATATGTGACCAAGTGCTAATATTCTTAATATATAAAAACCTCTAATAATTCAATAAGTAAACGATAAATACCTCATCAGAAAATATTGAATTCAAACAAAAATATACATGTGACCAATAATCATATGACAGCAAACCCCAAATCACTATTGATTAGACAAATGCAAACTAAAATAACTTAAGTTCCTTTTCACCATCAGATTATCAAAGATTGGTAATGTCTAGAGTTGATGATAATTTGAGAGAAAGAGCACTCCATCACACTGTTGGAAGCAGAGCAAGTTGGTAAATTCATGCATGGCATCTCGTCAGATTTTATCAGAATTAAAAGGCGTCTCTTCTCTGACCCAACAAGTCTACATCCAAGAATTTATCCTCCAGAAATTATTGGACAAGTGTGTAAAGACTTATGGACAAAAACAGTTACTAGCATTCCTTGTAATAACCAAAATTGGAAACAGCCTAAAAGTCCCTCAATAGGAGATTGGTTAATTAAATCACATCCATACAACGGACTGCAACGAAGCCCCTGAAAAGATAAGGTAGGTCAAAATGTATTGACAACCACGTAGATCTATGACCTATTGAGGAGGTGAGCAAGGCGGTTACAGGACAACAGTACATTACAGTCATGCTCAAGTTAAAATGTACATTTGCACATGCATTAAAAAGCTGGAAGGATATACTCACACCAAACTGTTAATAATGATTTTTTTTTACCATGCATTTATTTTTTCTCTTGGGTTTTGGTGAACTTGACTTTCTAATATTTTAATTTCTTAACAAGGGAAAAAATTAGGTCTTTTCATTTTGGGGAAAAATATGGTCTGCATGATAATCATATCCTTTAGCTTCCCTCAGGCCTCATTAAAAGCTCAGAAAATTTTGCTTCTCAAAGGGAAAATAATCATGTGAAGTCAATAGTTATCAAGCACTGGCATCAAAGCTGTTGTTGGAACCTCCTGGCATAAAAAGGACTATGTCAAAGTTTCCTGCTTTACCCGCCCTTACCTGACTGTGATCTGTTATACGCTAAGGCTGGCCTGATCTACCTCCTAAAACGACAATGCTTTTGGAGAAGGGGGCCTCCAGGGATGCTGTCTATTCAGTCAGTAAGGGATGCCTTGTCTGGCCCAGTTCTTCTCAGCTCTGCAAACCTCGTGCAGCCCGTGTGGCCATGCTGAGCTCTCTAACTTACAGGTAAGGTCCTCCTTGGAGGTGCAAACTGCCTCATCTCCACTTCTCATGAATGTCATGTTGTTTTCTAAGCATTCATTCATTAGCAGGGATTAAATCTCCCTGCCTGCTGCTTTGGTAAGAATTTTCCCTCCTGGGCTCTGAGTCTGGGTTCAGAATGCTCTTGTCCACCTGACTTGGAGGATGTAACGGGGACAGCGACATAGCAAAAAACGGAGAATCCATTCGCAGCACCTCAGCAGCACGTCTCTGTATCTCACAGCAGATGACAGCCATCTGAGAAGTTTTATACTCAGAGAATCAAACTCAGAATTCTTTTGATTACACTTAAGAGTTAAAACGGGTCCCCACTATCTGCTCCCACCATTGCCAGCCACGTGCAAGGTTTGTGGCTGAACAGCACCTCCCATCACCAGATGTGTATGGTGGCCAAAGCCATACTGGTCCCCAGCACCTCCCACCCTGTACTTTTCCTTTGCATCATCACCAAGCACCTGTGCTACAAGACAACCAACCCTGTGAGTCCTCAGGGCTTCCACTGGGGGCATCCTGTGGCCACAGACCACTGCCAAATCCCTGATCTCTCCGGGCTCTGCTCTCTCCAACCCATGCTTCTGGAAACCAGAGAAGACAATTCCTCATTCTGGAAGCAACTCCTTGCTTAGGCAATAATTGCTCATAATGGCAGAGCACATTCAGCAGGCTTTCAACTGGTAGATGGGTTGACTCCTGTAATCCATGGAGATTTAAAGAAGTCTGAGACCTGAGAGATCCTGGCGGAAATGCAGAGTAAGTGTATGTGGCTGTCGGTGCAGTGTGGACCAGAAGCCAGCAACTTGAGGACAATCCGTTTTAGAGTCTGAGCCAGATGATGCAGGAGCAGTTGAGAGCAGGTGAGGCAGGAAAGAGAGTAGTTAAGTGGCTTTGGCATTAGATGATCCCAAATTCAAGTACTAACTGTCACTTGAAAAAGTTGTCCCATCTCTCAAAGCTCAGCTCTCTCCTCCGTAATCTGGGAAGATGGTAGTACCACCTTGACAGAATTGCTGTGCAGATTAAATGAAATAATGAAAGTGAAGCGTTTAGGAGACTGTCTGGCCTGGAGTTATTGTTCAATAAGTGAAAGCCAAAACAAAGTTCAATGGCATCATCCTTGGAGTGTGACTTTTAGGAGTACTTTAAGTGATGGAAATCTTAGCTTTCTAAGTATGGTGTCTTCCCAACAGGACTTCAAAGGAGAAATAATT